TGGCACTATTAAATAATAATCTTACCTCTCGAGGGAAAATGAGGTCTTCACTCATTCTTAATAACAAAGAGTTAGTTACACAACGCTAGCTAGAACCTTCAGTTTAGGAGCTCCGTAGAAAGTTTTTAACTTGCAGCTCTTCTACAACGCATATGGTTTATAGTATCAACTGAACTGTCTCAACGTAGATGAAAGCAGTTAGTTTACGCCGGCCCTAATAATGTATAACATGACTGAAGATCTTACACATTATTGAATCACAAAAGTTACCGCGATATAGGAATCAGGCAGCACCATCTGTTGGTGCGAGGCGGAGCCGCATCTGCCACCGTATTATTGTTAGTATTGTTATAAAAACTACAAATATCGTTGCCGATTTAGGATTTTTATATTGCTTGTTCTTAAATTTAATTGAATCGGTCCGATTCGAGAGTTCATGCATCGATTCAAGAATCGATGTGGCATAGATCGACTTTTTTACTCTAAATAATCGATTTTTTGATTTATCGATTTCAGATCGACATGCCTACAACAGAGTACAAAAATATGATTTATGTTGTCTCAAATGAAGTTATATTTTTAATGGTAAATAATTTTTGAGCAAATTTGACTAACATTTGTCACAGATTTATCTTCTCATACATTCATTGTATTAAAATCGTTTTCAGGACTTTCATTTTATTTTAATTGGGTGGCTAATTGCTTGAATTACAAAGTACCTTACAAACTCTTTGATAAGAGCAAATGACAAACCTCCACAGATGGCGGTAAATTTAACGATAAACAGTAAAGAGCAATGTTATTTGATACATTGACGTGCAAAAATAAAAAGTCTAAATCACTAAAATAGAGAACATAAAACAATAGTAATAAGCTTATCAATATGAATTAATTAATGGCACTATGGGTGTTATCTATAATTCCGTTTATGTATGACAAGCTTTCCCAGAATATGGGTATGTTCCGATATACACTGCGAGCACTGCGCAGTGGTCTTACTGCTGAAAAATCCGTTCCGTTATGGACTCCCAGTACACTGCTACAGTACCCTAGAAAAATTTATGACGTCATAAATTGGCGCCATATTTGTACTTTGAGCACTGGAGATTTCGAGGTAAGGTGCTCGCAGTGCTTTTGATCACGTGATCAGTCAAAATAAACAAAAAAAAATACTTACGTTTATTTATAAGATGGATTTAATTGATAAATAATTTTTTTATACAATTTTCCAATTTTCTTTTGAAAAGAGGGAATCTTTATATTTATATTCACCTTGCATTAATAAATTTGAAAATGGCGCAAAAAAAATAGGATTAACAGTATACTGGACTGCGTTCCGTTTTAAAAAGTCACCAGTATAACTAGCTATAAAGGAACGGGCTTCCAGTATACTAAATTGACGTCATACTGTTCAGTGGTCGCAGTGTATATCGGAACATACCCTTAGTCCAGTGAGGTATCATGACCCTTATTAGTAGCATTAACTAATTTAGATACGCGAATAAGAAAGGCATTGCTACGGTGTGCTGTACGTGAAAATGGAGTATGAAACAAATTTCTAGGGCGACAATGGCGAGGTAGTATATATAATTTAATTTTTGCAACCAGTTCAGGACAGTCCACAGATACTAAAAATATAACGAGATGGTACACGGACTGATCGCCCAGCACGCTTAGCATGACGAACTCAACAACGTCTTATTTACACTCAAATGTCACTTTTCTCGGGTGCGTTCGGCGCTAATACAATATCTTACCCTCAATCCGAGAAAGTGACATTTGGGTGTAGACAAAGCGTTTCTCAATACTCTATACTCAAATGTTTATTGCAAACCATAGTGTTACATAGATGTTACAAAAATAATAATATTGTGCGGAATCGATTACCATTAATCGATTAATCTATGTTTCAAATAATCATTTGCTATCGATTATGATTTCATAATCTACGATTAACCATCGGATATTTCTTAAAACGTTAGCAATAGGAATAGTTTAAAATGTTTATATAGTACCTACTTACTTTACTTTGATGACTCAGCAACCCATAGCGGATTGCGAGTGTGAATATTATTAGTAGATATTCTATTACTTATTATGTCAACCCTGGAATACTCTCACGAACAAATAGGTAACTTTACTCTATGGTCGGAGAACTCCCGATGAATGAATAAACTGTTCTTACCGATAGGCTGCTGCTGCTCGGAATCGTATTGTTAATTATATGGATCGTAATCGATAACTAAAACATATTTATTTAGAGCTTTTCTTTCATCATTTCATAACAACGTTATCGATAAATATATGCCATAATTATATAAAACTAAAAAATACTGTTTACAAGGGAAAATTATAGATGAACTGATACTGAACAAATGAAATAATGAACTGTCCAGGCACTTTTTTTACGAAGATTCGGTTAATTATTTACACGCAGATAAATATTAAAAATTACTGATGTGCTATAAATATCTAAGTTACGAAGTATATCACCGTTTTATGAACAATACATAAATTAAACGAAACTTCGTGAAAAGCTAAGAGTTGGCCTAATAGGTCTTGTTAGAAACTGGTGAAACTGGATTTCACTTATTTTGCATTACTTATATTTCAGTTTCCCTAATAACTTTACAACGGATTGCCTTGTTTACATAATTAATTTTGCCCTATCTGTTTTAGACCTAAACCTATCAAATGAATTTCAAAACAACATAATATCTATACAAACAAAAAATTATGTTTTCAACTAACGTAATATTGTTGGTGGTGTGAATTTAATTTACAAAATTAATTTTTAGGCGTCAATTTAATTTACCTTATTATGCTGATTCATAATCGGAAACTATTATTATAGAAATCGAGTTAAGAAAGCCACTTTAAAGAACCGCCCACAGAACAGCTTTTATCAGTTTTTTTGTTGCTCCATATTTGCACATAAGTTTATAGACGCATGTCTCAAACGGATGTGACTTTATATGTAGATTGACGTTTGTACGTACTTATCGCTTTTGTGTCTATCTTCAAACTTTTTTTGTCACGGCTTTCAAACTCATACTTGACCAGCAATTCCTTATTGTCCAGTCGTTGCAATTAATAATGTAGCTACTACTATTATTACAGATATAAAACTTAGAATAATAAAGTAAAACAAACATGGCTATGATCAATTTATTAGTGTAATGATCATATTAGTTATTATGAAATGAAATGAAAATATCTTTATTCAAGAAGGCTATTACAACCACTTGGAATGGCAAGTTTATTTTTATTTCTACTATTTTTTTGTGAAGGAATCGTAATGTTTTCTTGCGTACATAATATTTTCATTGATGTATTGAGAGGCAACAGTCAAAATATTTATTTCTTTAAATATTTCTCTGAGAGATTCTCTAGACCGTAAATTATATATAGCGTGGACAGCTCTCTTTTGTAGAATAAAAATATCTTGAATGCTAGCCGCAGAACCCCATAACAATAGATTATACGTCATTCATTACACTATGAAAATAACTAAAATATACCAATCTTGCCGTTTCAACATTTGTTAAGAGTCTAATTTTCTTAACAGCAAATGCTGCAGAACTCAGTCTACTTGACAAATTATCAATATACCAAAATACCAAGGAACTTTGTCGATTCCACCATCTCAACTTTTTCACTATTTACATTTATAAGTATATTAACATGCCTCACATTAGGTAATGCAAACTTTATGTATTTCGTTTTATTTGAATAAAGCTTTAAATAATTACTATCAAACCACTGTAGAAAATTGTCGAACTGAATTACGTTGAACTGTTTCATAACAAAATTTAAAGCTCTTATTTTATCAACTAATATGTCACATCACTAATATGCACAATCGGAATGATACCAGTAAGAAAAAAATACAAATTAGGCTTAATGTAATTAATACAAAAATTCTGTTGTTTTCTTAATTTTTGTTTTTTTTACGCTTTCCCTCGCTTAATTATATTACTCCACAGACATACGATAGAGTGTATCATTAAGTTTTCTTAGTTTTTGTACTGCGTTTTTTAAAAGATATTTTAATAAATTATGTAGGGAAAAGCCTTAATTTTTCAGTATTCACTTGGTTACAGCAAAATCTAATATTAATAGTTCGCACATAAAATGATGACCCCAATTTTTTTAAATGTGCATAATCTTAAAATATTTTTTTCCTTCTGGTATCCCCACAGTATTATTTTAACAAATACAAATTAACCGTTTCTTACTAAATGCACATGTAAGCATACACGGTACATACCTATATCAAAATAATATTTTTTACATTTTTTGTCTGTCTGTTTGTTTCGGCTCATCTCTGAAACGGTTTGATCAATTTTGACGGGACTTTCACTGGCAGATAGCTTATGTAATAAGGAATTACTAAGGTTACTTTCCACGCAGACGAAATCGCGGGTACAGCTATTTTTCATTAACTTGGATGGCTTTAAAAGAAATCATTAATAAACTTTTGGGGTAAATATATTTACTACCGCTCTGTGGAAAATTTGTTGACCATCTAAGATTGATCCGACCGCATTGAGAATTTTGTTTAGCAAAGATTATTTTTAAACTTTTTTAGAGAGATTTTTTGTCTAAGGTTTTTAAAATTTTAGTTATATAGTATGTTTTTTTCAATTTTGCATTCACAATGTTATACAAATAAATTAATATTGTTAATGAATAATACTTAAGGATCTTGACGAAAGAGGCTATCGATTAAAGATGGAAGCGGGTTGCTCTACCGGGATACCTGACACACAGTTTTTTTAGATCTCCTAATATTTTTTACACTATGTTCAGTCAAGGAACTAATATATTAATAGTTGAATGTTGAATTAAGAGAATACTGCTTACAATGTTTTTAAATTACACTATATTCTTAGTGATTCATGCTGTTACATTTATCAAAAAACTTAAGTTTGAAATAGAACTTGAATACTGCTTATTATTGAAGAAATTATAATGAATAAAAAAAATAAAACGAAGAGTGCTCAGAAAGGTAAGTTTATTCAGTCTTCGAAAGATGACCGAGCGGGTGACGCTGAAGCGTCGCGACTAGAGATACGGACCGGGCAGTGAGCGGCATTAGTCGTCGGGACGAGAGTCTTCAGGTACTGCGCCGGGGCCCGGTCCGAGGGCTGAGGCAGGGGTGGGGTCCGTCCGCCAGTCCAGTGCGCCGGGAGCCCAGATAGTGGCCAACGAGCGGAAAGGGTCGTATGCGCGGGGGGCAGGCGGTGCAGTCGGGGCTCCGAATCCGGGTGGGGGGCGCACGCCCAGCCCGCCGCCCCACGCCCACGCACCACCTGCCCACACCGAACCATATGTGTTCGGTTCGTCTGTGGAATAAAAAATGCAAATGGATGGAACGATCAATGCAGGAATGACAAAAAGAAGAAAATTTTCTTGATCAAAAGGAAAGGTCTTCTTTTTTATTGTACATAAGGCTCGATCAATGCGGCGCCTCCTGTCGTTTTCTCTAAAATTCATTCTTTTAGAGCAGGACTTGTGTCATATTTTGTAGCCGAGATCAATTTGTTTTTTTTTTGTACAGATACATAACAAACATTTTCATTATAATAACAAAATATGCTTATAAACCTATAGTTCAATATAACTCATTAAATAGACACAAAGATAACAATGATGACATTCCAGCATGAAGAAAAAATAAACCTAATATTAAGTTTGTAACTATATTTTCTCCCTTGAATTCTTTTTACTTTGCAGATACCATTCCATTGTATGGTGATAATTCTAATGTTAATTTGGTTTGAATGAATTAGCAACGATATTAATCATAAGTACCTGCCTTAACTATTTTTCAGCCAGATACCATATATATATATATATATAATCACAACAGAGGTACTCTAAATACAATAAAATCGAGAAAGCGCCGACTCACCGAAATCGCCGATGTAATCATTTACGGGTGGCGGGTACCGCGGCCGGTCCAATGGCGGTGACGCGCGCCACGGGAACCGTTCCGGAGGTTGTGGCGGGGGTTGTTCCCCGTTAAAGTAGAATAGCGACTGGTCCGTACGCTCCTCCGGCCGCCGACGCACGTCCGAGCCTATGGGAGGTAACGGTGCCCCCGCCGACGCCCCCGCTGCCACTACAGACGACCAAGACGCGCCCCAGCGAACCGCTGCCGGCGCACGGACCTCGGGGACTGCAGCGGGAGGACTGCACGACGGTGGCCCGCTCGCTCTTTCCCCGACCCGCCGCCGGCCACCTTTATCGCGGCGCCCGGGGAGCCGCGATGGGGCGGGGCGGGGTCGACCCTCGCCGGCGTCCAGCGCGCGGCGGTCCGGGCGGCGGATCTGGTCACTGGGGTCCCGACGAGGGCGTGGATCTCGACGAGGATCCGGGCGGCGCGGGGGCGATTCAGCGTCCGGAGATTCGGCGGGCTCCCCAGGCGAATCCACAACGGGCGTCGCCCGCGCGTCTGGTTCGCTGTCGTCTCGGCCCTCTAGATCGTCGCCCGGCGACGAGTCTGAGCTGACCGAGGAGTCGCCGGAGGGGCCGGCGTCATCGCTGGACGGGCGCGGAACATCCGCTTCATCATCCTCCGGCAACGGAGACTTTCGCTCCGGCGACTTACTGGCAGGTGGAGCGGGGGGCGGGGGCGTCGAGTGGGTACCGTCTTCGCTCAAGTGTTCGTCTTCGCGTTCGGCCCGCCGCAACACCTCAGCCCGCCAACGCTCAAATGCACGACGTTCAGCGAGGGGCGCACGCGGGTCTGGCGGCGGTGGACGGCGGGGTGCTCGGCGCCGGCGAGGAGGCGGCGGCGGGGGCGGCGGTACGTCGGCAGCGGCGCGCAAATCGAGTGGTGCCCGCGCTGGAGGCAAAACTGGGAGCCGAGCATGGCGTGCGCGACGTAACGCCCGCTCGGCGTCGAGGGCAGCAGCGGCAAGGACCAGCGCGAGAGCGGCGAGGGCGAGTGCGGCGCCAGCGGCCCGCAACGGGGGGTCGAAGGGCGGCGGCGGGTTTTGGATGGCACAGGCTCGCAGCAGGCGGGCAGGCAGGGCAGCGCGCAATCGGAACTCGGCACGAGCGGCGTCGGCGCGCACAGTAAGGGTGGCGAGCACGCGCGCGAGCGTGTAATCGGGATGAAAGGTTAGGCGGAGGGTGCGAGTCTCATTGGGTGCGAGTGCGAGGGGCGCGCACGGGTGCAGACGAAAACCGCGGGCAGCGCACGGGCGGCCGGCGAGGCGCCAATCCCGCAGGTGCAGGGGCACGGGCCCGGTGTTGCGGACGGCGAGCTGGCGTCGGACACCAGCACCTGTTGCCGGACACTCTGCAACCTCGAACACGATCGGCGCCGCGGAGCCGGGCCGTCGTCCGCCTAGCTCGAAACTCGGATGAGCGCCGCGCCCCGCTAGCGGGAATACTTCGACGACAGTAAAATTGTTCCTGCAAACGATCCGACGCTGTCATTATATCGGAATGACTTCCTCGGTGCTTCCACTTCTCGATTTCTATATAAAATCATTAGAAACGTCTCAAAGAACTGACTTAGTTAATAGACTTGTGTCCTACAAGTGAAAATACAGGTTTCTATGATGACTTCAGAAAATATGAACCATTTTAACTTATGAATAATTAACAAAAATAATTTTATGACACTAATTTGAAAAATATGTATTATGCTTTGATTACTTGAAAAAGTAGGGTAAATATACTACTAACGTTTGCTATAATACTTATAACATAAAATGAATTACATAAAACGTTAAAGCTTTCAATTATAAGAGCTATAAACATAAACGCACAGATAACAAAGATATTACAAAAATTGCCCAGACGCCTTTATGTTTTTCATTACCGTAGCACCGTGTGACGTCACTTAGAGCATTGAGCGTTTTCGGACTAGCAGCAGTTCCACATACAAAGCACCATATCTCCGAAACTATTAATCGCAGACATGCAGTTACTTCTACATTATTTCTCAGATATTAATTGACTATTTATTTATAAAATAAAAAAGTTGTCAACTAACCTATTATGAACATCTGCCCTTGCCATACGCAAACATTGAGAAAACTAATTAATAAAAATCTCTGCGTTCTTATCCTATTGTCTAATTTCCGAAAAATGTGTAAAATAACTATCGAAACAATTCAGCTCGATTTGGTTATTTTCAGACTTGGTTAATGGCAGATATCTGTATATTTTTAAAATGTTGGTAACTGGTATTTCTTTCTTTAGTTATTTTTTCAATCAACTTCAACTTCCGAATTTGCATTAAACTAAATGTTTAAGTAAATATCTTGTATTTAAACTAAATAATGTTCGAAGTAACATGATTAGGTTAGGGAAAAAATCTTTTCACATAATGTATGCATAAACTTGACATAAAATCTTTCTGGTTATAGCACTACGTATTTAAATTAGGAAGAATTTTGATTATCATATGATTTTTTCTATTGTAGCACAAATTCGGTTTTAGCGTTTTCAGTCCGGAAATTTTGATGTCAAAGATGCACGTTGCTCCGGTCGTCCTGTTATGGATGCCATTTTTTTAACGGCGGAGCTAGATCGGCATTACGAATTTGGCTGTTAGGTGTTAATGCATCCGCCGTATAGCTCTGAACTCGCACCTTCAGATTTCTGCCTGTTTCCGTCTCTTCAGAATTTTTTTGTGTCAGGTTAACATCGCCCGAGGACTGCCAGTACTGTCTCGGTTTTTTGGTCAGAAGCCTCAAAATTTCTATAGCAATATGGCAAACCCTACCTACAAAATGGCAAAGCTATCTAACAAAATAGAACCTATATACTTTAGCTAAATGTAAATAAAGTTTACTAAATAAATTTTGAATTTTCATATAAAACGCGAAGAAACTTTTACCAATCTATTATTAGTAGTGGTGACAACTCACCTCAAATATAGATACGTGACGAGAGGCACAGCGACGGCGGGTGAGAAGGTAATTTCCAGCTCTATTTCAGCGTCGGGGTCCAGTAAGAAGATGGACGGCAAGATCCCGGCGGGCGAGGGGGTCGTGGGGGCCGACTGGGGGTAGAGGTGCCCCGCGGAGGTGACATTGCCGGTAAGCACGCGCCACTCTGTAATCTTGAACGCGTCCGTACTCCACACGCAGTCCTCAGACGAGCAGAAGGATTTTAACTCCTCCGGCCTACGATTGTTAATTTAATACACACCTTCAATATGACTAGATATCATGACAAGTAAAGCTAGAATAACATAATGAAGAAATTTATTTTTTTAATTGATAAATGCACAGAACGTATAAATCGAAAAGATGACAAGTCAGCTGTGCGCTTATGAAAAGTCCTTGAACCCAAAAAATAAGGAAGTATGGAAAATCGAGTTAGGAAGAGTGCCGATAAGCGTGACGAAAATAAACGCAAAGGAAAATGGTCAAATGGTAAAATAAGCGGTAAGCCGACGAATAATACGAGGCCTACTATTGTAGATAGAAACGAATTATTATTATTATTATTATCTTATTGGCTATGAAAGTGATGATGGTTATCATATAATCGACATAAAGAATATTAAATTAATTAGGCCCCGTTTCGATGAAACAATCATAACACTACTTTACAAGGTATCTTACCCAGAGATGAAACTGATATGTATATAAACCTTATCTGAAAAACTGAAGCTAGGACTGAATTAGGACGTCCAATTTAGTAAATATTGATTATATTTATATTTTATCATTTTTATATACCTATCTCAAAAACAAACAAAAATAGGTCGTTTTACTCCTTCTTTTATACTGATTATCAGTTTCCCTTATTATAGACCAGCAGTAATCCGCTAACATATTTTATCCCAAAAACGTTCGCCATGCTCATCACTCATACTTCCTAGGTTCTCAGGAAAAAAATCCAGATGAGAATGTAAAAAAATATTTTTAACGACATATTCACTCCCTCATTCTTTGGTCATTTCTCAATAAATTGGAAACAATTTCAGCAAAATGATCTGATTTATTATTTCCCAAGATCAATCAGAGGATTGTTTTAAACGTTCATTCTGTTTGATGTATATTCATTTCGTATAGGCCAATCTGTTTTAATGTATTGGTAAAAAGCAGCAATGCTTGGGATAACCACCTTGCAAACCATGAAGTAGCACCACAACTTTGAGATCTCCACACACTTTCCAATTGTGTTCTTCATATTTTATAAGTTTTATTAATGTTGTTATCGACTCATATGATTCTTTGGAATTTACCGCATGCCCTATGGGAATGGATGGTTTTTCGTTGCCATTATGAAGCAATACTGCTTACAAACTTATTTTTTAAAAATCTATGAATAAACGCCATTTTTCAGGTTTGTATGATAGGTTTATTGAAGCGAAAAGTCCACGAATATCTTCACAATATTTATACCCCTCCCTCCTTTGATGCAAAATACTTCATGAATTGATCACTCCCACTGGGCTAACAAGTTACTTTGGTATCAGAGGCCAACAAATTCCAATGTTGAAGTCGTGACGCAAGTAATTCAGATTTGATTTTTGAAAGCTGTAAGTCTCTTACAAGGTAGTTTAATCAACCCTGTGATATTAAATGTGGTTCACAACTCGATTCTAACCTGGGAAGAGTTTCGAAATCAATGTCCTGGCTCAAAAACGCCTCCTCAACTTCCAACTCCAGGAGCTGTGGTTCATTTTCCTTACTGGACTTGCTGGGTAATGATGGATAAGGAATTCCTTCAGAATGTAGCACAGGTTTTGAGACTGATGCAACATCAGGATATTGTATGTGCTTCCGGTTTTTGTTGTTAAAACACGTAGTTTCAGTGAGGCAGAAGTGTCAGTCAGTAGTATGATTTGTTGGTTCTCTCCATATCATTGGGATGCCGAATCGTAAATGTTTTCTGCTTCCTGCCGCCCAGTTCAATAATATACTTCTGCAATTTTCACACACTATACTAGGAACCTATTTTTTATCAAGGTTTGTTACCGTGATTTGAAAGTAATGAAAATAGGCTCGTTTTACAGTCTCGGTGATCGGTCTCTTCTTTTTTGACAAAATAATTTGACCATAAACATAGCAAAAGTAATTTGGGTTTATTTTACATAGCCTTAATGACATTTTAAAACAAATGAAAATGTTTTAATAAAACTTAAACTCAACCAAAACAAACTGAAACTCAGACACAGCTAACAAGATAGCTTATTTAGGTTAATGTGGGTATATTAAAAAATTGACGTAATAAAAATATGAGATATATATTTTTGTAGTAAGGGGGTAGGTAAAAAACACATCCAATATGAAATATCTTTTTTTTGTAAAAAAAGTGTAATGAATGAAAACTAAAATACCAAAGTAAACGATATGCCCATAAAGAAGCCCAATTAGACCATCTCATTGGTCTTCAGTCGGATGATCTCATCTCGAATGAAACGACATGTCTTTATTCAAGTAAGCACTTTCGAATCGTCAATTTTTTTTCCCCTACCACTCGTTCAGGACGTCTTTTAGCTGACAAGAAGAACAAGCGAAAGAAACTTACCAGCTCTTTATCATAAGTAATGGTATTTACATAAATCATGTCATTACCATATTAGTACGTAATAATAAATAACAGTTTCAAAGTATATAGTTAGTCGTTACAGAACAAAGCGAAGGCTATTAATTCAATGCATTGCGGTCCTTAAAATAATTATCAACTTAATAACCTTCACTCATAAGTATGTTCTTTAGATGAATTTCAAATTTATTTACGGGCAGGTCAATTACATTTTGTGGAACTTTATTGAACATACAAATGCATTTACCCAGAAATGATCCTCTGGTTTTTTGAAGTCTGGAGCTTGGAACGACAAGATTATTTTTATTTCTTGTATAAAATTTATGAACATTAATTTTTTGTGACGGATTACTACTATGAAATTTATAAAACAATCTAAAACGTTGCAATTGGATAGAATTTGTTCAGATGCTGAGACAGTTATTTCTCGACATGAAAACTTGCTTCCTTATTCAGTTCGGTGTTTAGTTTGCGGTCCATCAAACTGTGGAAAAACAAATTTAATAATAGGTCTTCTATTGCATGAAAATGAATTACATTTTAAGAATGTATATTTATACTCAAAAACACTGTATCAAACTAAGTACATTTATCTAGAGAACGTCTTTAAATTGCTACCTAGTGTTAAGTTTGCAAAATACAGTGATAATGAATTGATTCTCAGTCCACATGATGCTAAGCCCCATTCTGTAATAATTTTTGATGATGTTGCTTGTGAGAATCAAACTAATATGCGAGATTATTTCGCTATGGCCAGACATAAATTTATTGATTGTTTTTACTTAAACCAAACATATAGTAAAATACAAAAACAACTAGTAAGAGACAATGCAAACCGTATAATATTATTCAAACAAAACGATATAAATTTACGACAGATATGTCGTGGTCAGAATTTCGGGAAATGTGTTCAAAAATTTGGAAAGACATACAACTTTTTAGTCATTAATAAAGATTGTGTAGAAAATGACGGTTGCTACAGAATGAACTTAGACACCTTCGTTACTTTCGACGAGTAACCAAATAAAGTTACTTTCAATCTAGAACACAATTCATTTAAGAAGTAAAGCTATAAGATACAACACGTTGCATAACTCAAGCTACTGTTCTTTCAAAATGGAAATGGAATTAAAAGCTGAAGTTGTTCGAGCTGCAGAAGGTGTTAAAAAGAAGCTGAAGGAAATGCGTATGATGAAATCTTATCAAGAAAACATGTTAAATACAGTTTTTTAACCCATCACTAAACCACTTCATCAAATAATTCATCATAACACAAATCCTTCAAAATCTAACAAATCTAAAGTCCATGCAGTACCTAAAGATGACAATTTGGATACAGACTCTGAGAATACATATTTTAAACGTAACGATTCCATATCCGAGTCCCATGATAGCGATTCTGATGACAATATTGATGAAAACAGTTTCGATGGTCAAAATAAAAATAATACAAGCGATACATCGTTTGCAACAGTCGAGTCCGTCCACAGTCCTAACCGAGATGCTTTGTCTTGGTCATTATCTTCGGAAGTGTTTGAGGATGTTCCATTTGGTGTGGAAGTTCACGATTAGAATATATCCGTAGCAGATCGACTATACAAGAAAACTCCTGGATTATATGAACTTTTGTTCAAGAGAGTTCCTGAATTAAATTTGGTTACAGAAAAAGATTCGCAAGTATATAAAGCATTGTTATCAGAAACAAATGCTCATCGGAAGGATTATGATCCAAATAAACCAATAAAAACTAATCGAGGTCGAAAGTATTTGCAAATTATAAAACCGCTGTTTAAGTTACGCAAACCGTCAACATCTTCTGTTTCTTCTAGAACAAAAAATTAAGTGAAGGAGAAGAGTTAAGACTTAAGAAAAAATTTAATAAATATACTGATTATATTTATTGGGATGATCCTAATGAGTTAGTTGAAAGATTAAAATTACTGATAGCTTTTAAAGATGCAGGAAATACTGGAGTAGAAAATGAAATAATTTCTATTATTGAAGAATTACGTGAAAACAGAATTATAAAAAGCGTGAATAGCATCAATTCTCTAATAAATTCTTATACTGAATCCATTTATAATATTGGGCATTCTGTCATTTCATGAGTGAGTGGTGGCGAAACGCCGACACGTACGAGTGGGGGACAGAATGCCCAATATTACCCTACTTTGAGCTTTAAATTATTATTCTCAAACCACCGTAGAACATTGTCGAGAGCATCATTTACATCGTCAAAATAATAATTATCCCTCTTAACTTTAAATACTGAAGAGGTGTCATCTGCAAAAATTACTGTCTCACACAAATTCTTCATAAAGTGAGGAAGATCATTTATGAAAATTAGAAAAAGCAATTTTCCTAATACCGATCCCTGAAGTACGCCCATTACTACTTTTTCAATTCTAGAAGAAAGAAATGATTTTATTAGATTAAGTTAATTTTTCGACACTCCATAATACTCACTTTAGGAACCTTAAGGTTTGAATGTGTGGTCCCTACTGCGGTGATAGAGACAACTGGCCAGGGAGACTAAAGGATAATTGACTCCCTCCGAGCTAGGTGTTGTTAGCCCGGGGACCGTATTGCTCCAACAGCGTTTCATGACTAACGCAGTCAAATGCTTTTGACAGATCGCAAAAAATGCCGATAGCATCTTGTTTCCTCTCCCAAGCATCATAGATGTCTTAGAAGTGCAATTCCAGCTTCTGTGGTACATTTTACCTCTGCTAGAAACAACCTGGTTTTTGTGACGTAATTTATTTAACGAAAAGTGTGCATGCAGTTGATTGTAAATAATTTTCTCAAATACTTTACTTAGCGCTGGGAGTATAGATATTGGTCTGAAATTACTGGGATCAGACTCGTTGCCTGTTTTGAAAAGTGGTTATTTTACCATATTTCATTAACATATCTAAAATAAAATTCAGTATTGCCCAAATCAACAACTGACTCTAGATGAGTAACCGCAAGTCTAGAACATGAACTAAGATTTCTAGTGATTTCTATTGGTGTCTTAGAAAAGAATTTCTCAAATGTATTATTGCCCTCCGAGAGATTCCTAACATAGATCTTGCTCGTGAGACTAGTGATGGTGTATACTCACAGCTGATGTGTGGATGGCGGTGATGTCGGGTGGTGCAGATGTGGCTGCAGCAGTAACGGCAGAGTGGAGGGGTTGTGCACTCGCACACGCGCCCCCGCCGCACCCCCCACCACCGCCACCAACCCCGTCCCCTCCACGCCACGCGACACGCGCGGCCACATCCACGACACTGATACCTGCACCGGCACCCGCAACACCTGCAAACATGCATGCGAGTTCTCAACGAGTTCAACTCGCATCATCCAATCACAAACGATATACGCTGACCGAAAATAGATGAGATATAATCCGCACGAATTAATATTACACTTGAGAAATTATTATAATTATCGTCAAACGAAAATTCAGCAAATTTCGGATCGTTATGATTTTGTTAAAATTATGTCCGTGAAGATTATTTCTGTATCAGATCCTCCCTCCATTGCATAATAAATTATCGAAGAAGGGTGTTTAGTTTGTTGTAGTTGTTAGCTCTTCGTGATTAGATGAAATTGAATAAGTCTTCAGTATCATGTTAATTCGTACGATTAGTAGTTCCGCAGGCGGAGTCCTACTGTATGAATCGATTTTGCGACAGATTCCTCAAACAGACTTCCGGCGCCTCGTTCGCTGCGTCGCCCGACATTTCATTCCTTCAAAACTTCCCCGCAGTAGGTTATTGTCAATTTTCCAAAACTGTTTGAAAACGAAAGTTATTTATTAAATGATAGGCCGTTTGAAGTCCGTTCTATTTTTTTTTAAGTTTTGTTCATTTAAAAAGAAACTAAAATTATACAGGACCAAACTTTTTTTCAGAATGATTGCTACCATGTACCTCATATTTTACGATTTTCCTATATTTCGGCACTGTTGCAAGTTGTAGTAAAAATCATTCTGATATTAATAACAGTGTAAGTAGGAAACAAAAACATTACATATTTTCTATTTATCATTTTAACATAGCGATTGTGCAGTTTGATGGGAATATTAATGTACACTTATTTATATTCTAATTTAGTACTTTTTAGATCTTCAGGTTTACTGTTCAATTTCTATATATTTGTAAATGTGTTACGATGTATTCACGTTTTGACAATGACTCCGACAGCTGATACATTGTTATGACATCACACGATTTGGTTTTTTGTTTGAACTTACAGATAACTTGCAACAGATACCGCGTAATGACTATTTTGTTAGAAAAATAAAGATGCCAATCTTAACGGTGGGAAAGGTGGTGGGCGTGGTAACTGCTGCAACGCTATTGGCTAATACAAAGACAAGTATTCCGAAGTAATGAGAACCATAATGTGTTAAAGGCATATCGATAATCGATCTAAAATAATATTATTATTAGATATCAATAAAAATATATTTTATTATATTTATTTAATTCAAAATTTATAGCACTATAAACTAATTGATGGACAAGGCATTAAATGGCAAGGCCTCAGTGGGAGCGTTCACTCAATCACTAACATTCAATCAGTTGGTGAGAATAACTTTCAAAAATCGATCTTGTACAAAAATATTAAATAAGTTGTAATAAAAATAAGAGAACAACATCACATTTTAAATATTAAATCACAATAAAAACGTGAATTTATAACCACGACAAAAAAAAATTAAAGAAAAACAAAAAACCCGACAAGTAAAAACGAATTTTAAAAAATACATGATAAAATTAACTTAAATAAAAAGAAAGAAACAAGCGCAATAGTTTAGAATTCTGTTAAGTAATACAGCACAGAACGACTCATAGTCAGGGCCTATTCAAATTTTACCAGTCAAATCTTCCCAAGGGGCGGCGCCCGTATGCATTGCACACCCTGCACTATAGGTTAAGCCGCCCCTGCATCTATTGGAGGTTGTGTTTGAACTCCTTTGTTCATGTTGTAAGTTAATACTGTTCATGCTGTGTGCACTGTTTTTAGATTATAGTCTAGTCCAAATACTTGAAATATGTTTGTAGGTTTCTCTATTGATGATCTGTTAGTGTACCATTTATAAATAAATAAATACAGCTCTAAAATAGTTTCGAGAATATAATGACGATATTTCGTTTTATTTTACTATTTGACATGTCTTATTGTTGAATAAAGGGATAAAATACTCAGTTGGAAAAAATGCTGTCAAATTCATGTTCATTATTCTTTAAAGTACATGTCAAACTAGTAAATTCAAACGAAATAGCGCTATAAGATCGCTATAGTCCGTTTCGGTACGGTACGGTGACGTTTGTTAACAAATCAATTTCACTCAATTTGTATTTCCTACCAAATTAAAACCATTGTTATGAAAAATACCTAGTCTAGTCATAAATTCTAACACTAGCTGTTTACATGCATTAAAAAATGATATTAATTTTAATTTCGTACATTAGCTTCTACGACAAAAAAAATACTTCTTTCCCGCCATTACTGTATGTCTTTTGTTTAGAAATTATTTTTTTCAAAATGGAGTGGGGCACTAAAGAGAATAGGATTGCAGTAATTGCACTGTACAAAGTAGGTAAAGAACAAGCGGATATATTTGATACATTGAAAAAGTGTAGCGTACCATCCAAAGGTACAGTGAAACCATATC